AATTCTTGAGGTGTGAGATGAGAGGGAGAGAAAAAGTGCAAGTCTACCATATGATCAACAAATCACCTATTTTTTTCTGATAATCAGACCTAACATACCATAATTGCTTCCATATCTCCTCTCTATTTTCAGCGGGTACATGGCCTCACATTTCATTCAATTGAAATTGGGAAATGTTGCAGCCAAACAGGGACGGCGTTTTTACAGTGATGTTGAGAGTATGCCAGAATGCCCTCCCACAAACTACAGACAGATGCTTTTAATAAGCCGAGAGTACAGAACCCATACTGCTATATTGCCTTTATTTTGTATTTATTTAGCTAGATCCTGATGGAGATACATTCTGACCGCCTATTTCACAAAGCCATGCAGCTACAGACTCATGTCAATTGAAAGTAATAAGAAAAGTTTGTGCCGCACATGTGCTCGCAGGCTGCACTTAAAGGATAGTTCGCCCAAAAATGAAAATTATGTCATCACCCTCATGTCGTTTCAAACCTGTATGACTTTCTTTCTTCTGTGGAACATTAAAGAAGACATTTTGAAAAATGTTGGTAGCCAAACTGTTTTGGTTACCATTGACTTCCATTGTATGGATGGAAAAAAAATATATTTTTTTTAACTTTAAAATGTTTTTAAAAAGTTTTCAGGAAAAACACGAGAGCAAGTTAATTACAACAGAATTTTCATTTCAGGTTAAACTATTCTTTTAAAAAATATCTCCAGTATTATTTTTCGAGTCGCCTTGAGAAAGCAACGCAATATGTGTGCTGGAGATTCAATCGCTAAAGTTGGCCAGTCGTTTCTGGAGAAAAATATTTATTCATTTTCCAGTGCATCTCCTCGGCCGCAGGTTTTGAGATATCCGCTTTTTCTCAGCAAAGTGAAAAGCCTTCTAACACGGTGTGGAGAAACACATAAGCACCCAGTGTGCACGGAGAGGGCTAGATTTTCACGTTGCCCCACTTCATGCCTACTTAGATCAACATTAAGGTAGAGCATATGACTACACTTATGCGCAGAGGGGAAAGCTTAACGTAGATCAGACATGAAAAAGTTCAAAACCAACACAGAGGCAAACAGATAATCTGTACCCCTCCATCTCACCCACAGCGAAACCCTTAGAGCCCTAGACAGCTTTTGGAGGAAGCATTAAAGCTTACAGCCTTCTCAATGGGTAGGCCAATAAAACAAGGGCGGATCACATTCTTAAGAAGCAAGACGTTTATCCAAGCATGTCGCGCTGTTTCCAGAACAACCTCCCAACCTGACAGAGGAGACAAGGTGTCCGGATCCGTGACGGGTTGGGATCTACATCGCCCTGAGGCTCGGGTATGGGGTCACACAGTTATGTGAAACATTTGGATTTTTCCTACTGTAGCTTTTCACAGTCACGCTAAGATTTTGGTTTTAAGATAATGCGTTTGTCCGTAGTGGAAATAACAGAGGTTTTCTGAGCAATGGCTAGTATAGCTGCAAGCACACTTGTGAAACAAACGCAGCTGTATTATTGGACTCTGTTATGAATGTGGTATCTATCAATAGAGTCTCGCAATGAATGCAAACATCTGTATTCTGGTGATGTGGCTGGGATTCTTGCTGTGTTGCAATATGTAGAGTAGAACACTTTGAAATTACGATTTGGTAATATTTTACGTCCTTGACAAGACAATACTACAAAAAAAGACAGTAATAATGATTACGACAAGTTCACAAATGCTCACAAGTAAATCCAAAAGAGATGAATGTCAACTGCTTGCAGCACATTGATCACAGAGATTCATGTGCAACTTAAAGGGTAGGGTTTTGAAACTCAAACTCATATACAGGTGCATCTCAATAAATTAGAATGTCGTGGAAAAGTTCATTT